AGCAAGGGTTTGGGAAAAGAAGCAGAAATGTCTGAGAGATAGTCGGTGCTGCCAGCAGCAGTACAAAACTTGGGATCTGGTGATATCAAAGGATTGAAAATCAAACTGCAAAGTTAGCATAACCTACAAGATGTTTTTGGGAAGATATGGGATTTGCTGTAACCTTATTGTCTAGCTGGAGGTGTTGTGTCTGGCCTAACTGAAAGGGAGAAACTGTTTAAATCCTTAGATTCAGTCAGGAAGAATTAGAAAACTGATGAGGGAACATCCAAACTCTGACAAATTTTTATAATTCACATGTTTTTTGAAGCTTATTTTTGGAAGTTTGAATGTGATGAGAATTCAATGGGTTTGTTTCTTTAGTGGAAGAAGAGATTTGAACTCAGTTTTTCATAAGAACTCAGGTTTGCATAAGGTTTGAACAAAGCTTTTCATAAATGTGCAAATATATCTCCTTTATCTGTTGTTTTTTACAGTTTTCTGATTGTTGGCATTCCCAGCTATTCTTCTAGGCCACCCCCTTCTTCTGCAAGTCCAGAAGGGGTGCAGATTATTTTTTGTAGGATGACTTTTTGATGCTGTCCTTGGTTGCAGGAGAGGCTTGAAGTGGACACACCACGTTTACTCAGCAAAACAGATGAGAGCAGTAGAATTCTTTCCTTTGGTGCCCCTTGTCCACAGGAGCAGTTACTGACAGGGATCTGTTGGCATCATACCTGTGGTGCCAGAGGTCCATTTAGAGGTAGCAAAAATCTCAGCACTTCAAAGCTGCATGGATGGCCTAGAATCTCACTGTTTCCTTAGAGGTATAGGGCATTTTTATCCCCCCTTCCCTGTAAGGAACACACAGTCTGCTTGCATGTTGTGTAAATCTTTAAAACAGCCCTCCGGGAAGTAGCAGGGATGATGCCCAAGTGACAGTCCCATGCAAAATGATGCCCATTGCGACTTTTCAGGGGGGATGCTGTCAAAACAACTAACTTTTCTTTGACCAATGTGCTGCAACAGTAACACAAGACTTCTTAGGAGGAGTCCTTTTCAGAATAATTTTTTTTGCTCTAAAAATTAGTTTTGAGTAGGTGTTCTGATTTTATGCTGAAGAGAATTTGTGCAGTAATTAACACTGTTTTCTCACATCTGAATTTCTAACTGTACTTTGGATCTGTTTTATACTTTTTTAGTCACACTGAAAAGGACATTCTCTCTTGAAATAGTTACAAAATTTTTCTTGTAACTTTCCTCTCTTACTGTTTTATTTTTCTGTATATGTGGCATACTCATGTATGAGGAGGTAGGTTGCATACAAAGGAAAAGCAAAGTAGTTAGAGACAGAATTTTCTCAAATACATAGTTCTTGATCTTGCCTATTTCTTGCACATTGTTGCCAAATAAAAGGCTGCTTAACAAACATGGGGAGTATTAATTAAGGTTATCCAGCCCTTACTTTAAAATTGAGCAATTTAATTTTCACTGAAGTATAATTTTTCAGGTTTTGTGGGAAGAGGAAAAACTTGTTCTTAGAATATAAACTGTCTGTGAAAAAAAAGAAAGTTTTTAATGCTTGTGGCAATGGACACATTGACAGTTGTCAAGTTCCTCCTGAAAATGATGGGACAAAAATGTACGTTTGTTTGGGTTTTATTGATAGAAAACCGAATGTAAGCACACTGTGCAATTCTGTAGAATGTCTTAATCTTGCTTCTATTTGTGCGAATGGTGTAAAGCGATGTCTCAAGGCTTTCATGTGGCACCTCTACTTCTGATGAATGCAGTGATTTCTCTTACTACCTTCTCTTTTATTATATCAGTATAATTGATCCCAGCCATTTTTTTAAATGTTTCAGTGTGCTAGCTCTTCTGCAAAGTAAGCCACATATATTCATGTTTCATGGAGCAGCTGTCCAGTTTTCCGTAACTCATGACGGTAATTGGTGGTGTCTTTATTTCTGCTTTATTCTTCTTTTGAACCTTCTGGGGTTTTTTTTTTTTTTATACCTACTACTGTTGCATATCACCAATTTATTGTGTAAAATCTATGTATAATGACTGTAGGACACTAAACTCATACTTAATTTTTTCCATGTTAGGGTGGGAAGTCTTAATCTTTTTGCTATATGACAGTTCTGATCTTTATGCTGGGATTGGGTGCCTCTTACTATTTCTCGGTTTTTCTGCATTTAGTTTTGTGAAGTTTTGCTCGTGTACTCAATGACACATAAGATTCTGGTCAGGCTAAGTATTAATGTTTACTCCTATCAACTGGATTTATAAAAGTAAAATTATTTGCTAGGATGTATTTTTCATGTTGAGGGACTAGTTGTTACACAGAAAGTCAAACTTCCTTGGAACAAGAAAATATTTTTGACAGCTCTTGTCCCAGAATTGCAGTTTAGTTAGTCCTTCTGATTTTGGGAACAGTTTTCCTTCTGAAAGACCTCTAAAGTAGCTCATACTCACTACCTGATGACTGTCTAGAGAAAAAGAAACTAGAATGACTTTCTGCCCTCTCTACTACAGAACTTCTCTGCATCTCCTTTAGATTTCTTCATATATACATATGTGTATGTGTGTGTATATATATATATATATATATATATACACACATATGCATATAAATATATGGCATTTGTGTCCTGTTGCCAGAAGAAAACAATGCTTGAATTTACTGATTTATTTATTCTGTTTTAAATGTTTGTGTTATGAAAGTAGGGGATGAATGAGGGAGAGAGGAATAAGACACTCTTTCTTTCTCTCCCATTGTTGTTGATCCCTTTGTCTCTTCATTTGTGCCTCCTGACCTCTCCTCCCATACCCCCAGTAATGAAACTGATTCTGAAGTCTTAGCTGTGTTTCTCTATCCCTAGTTTTAGTTGCTTGTTTTTAACCAACAGTATATTTCTAGTCTCTTATTTTTGTGTTCTGCTTGGTGCTTTACAGCCAGTTACACTGGTTGCCACCTTCTTCCTTGTTTCTCATGAAGTTTTCATGAACGCTTTATTTATTGCAACCCTTCGGGGTATATCGTGTGCTGCTCTGTAGTTCAAGAGCTGAATATTCTATAAAAAAACATCTAGAAACAGAAATCATTAAACAGTCTGAGTCATTAGGATATTTCTATGGCTCAAGGAATTGTGGTGTTAATACTATCACTTGAACACGGCACAGTGTTTATGAAGAAGTGTGAGGTGCTTTGAGCAGTGTATTTGGTGATGACATTCCTGAGGTTGACATACCTTTCTTTCTGTAAATAGGTTTGTATTTAGCTATTAAGTACAATTTGGTCTCATAAAATGTTTGTCAGAGTTCGGTATTATGAAAATAATTTTAAAACTACTTTTTTGGTCACCTGGTTGCCTCTGAAGTACTCCAGATAATCTGTTATTTGACAATGACATTGCTTTTTATCAGTTTGTGGCTGTTTGTGATTGTTTTCTTAACTTTTCTCGAGCACTCTCAATGCCTTGGCATTAATGGTGCTGTTGGAGACATTTTGTTATGGATTTTTTTTTTCTTTTTAGCTCATTTTGGTGAGTAGGTTGAAGTGTACTCTTTATAGGCATCTCTGGTCAGGGTTACTGTATTTATGTTTTCCCTTTTCTTGCTGTTGCTAAAATCCCTCTACTGTTCTGTTACGAACATCTTCTCGTACACAGCCCTTCAGTCAAGCGAGAGACTCAGCTAAAGGTCATACTTTTATTTTTTGGGGCTCTGCTTGTATCATAAACATACTGAGTGTGCTTTTTGTTGTGGGAATGCAGAGGAGGATTGCAGCAACTTATTCTTGAATGCTGCCTTTAAGGCTGCATATAGCCTGTTCAGAGGGGAACAAATTTTATACAAAGAAGCAAAGTTAATTATTTGTTACTTTAATACTTATCTGCAAAATTTTTTTTCTTCTTTTATTTGTCTCCACTGACACTTGTTCAGTAATGAAATACATGCTTCCCTCCTGCAAGATTTAAATTCTTTCTGTTTTCTATTGTCAAACCAGCAGAGTGAGAGACCAAAAAACCCCAGAGTTGTGTTCTTGTGTTCGATTTGTAGGCCACTTTTGCAGACTTTATTTAACTGTTCTCATTTGAATTTTCAGCTGTTTTTCTTCATTTTCATGTGCTGTACCTTTCCTCTGCTGTGAAGATTTTTACTTTCCCTAAACATACACACTTTCCAGCTTCCTGCCTGTTTGCTGTAGCAAAATACATGGTTTTCACTGTAGCTCATGTACCTTTCCTTACTGATTGTGGATGCTTTTTGTAAAGGTGTCCACCTTTATGCCTCATCCTTGCCATTGCTTCCCTTGTTTAACACCAATCCATGTGACCTGTGTGCTTTACAGTTATTTTAACATTTTGTCTTTACTTACATGGTTGGCAATTAGAAGTCTCTTCTGACTCAGAGATTCCCGCACTGGTCCTTTCACTTTAATTTTTAATAATTCTGTATATCAAAGAGTTGCATCGCCTGATATAAAGGAGTTTCTCTTTCATCAGTATTCTTACCATATTAAGATCTGTCAATCTTTTCTGTCCATGCCCTCCTCCCTTCTATTTCGTGTTAATTTCCAGGAAAGTGTTGTGGGATAATATTTTCCCAAAGTTCTTAATGATCTGCTGTGTTTCAAAGTTGTTGTTTTTTTTTTCTTTTCCTCTTCTTGCATATGGAATGCATTGTCTATAACTAACACTACAGCACCAGCTATTCTTCAACTCATCTTCTGCTTTAATAGTACCCTTGGGTATCATGTAGGGTTAATTTGTTATTTCAGTCTTGCACCAAAATTCCCTATAACTTTTAGGGTGAAAGATTTACATGTTGCAGCCAGCCTGCCTTGCTGCAATGTAAATATCTGTGGTTACATTAGTTTGTGGTTTTATTTTTCTGTGCTATGTCCAGCGTGTTGGCTCTATTGCAAGCTTGCAGCCAAGGTGTGTTCTGAGATCTGCCGGGAGTCTGGGGGGCTGGATGGATGGGCATGCTGGAGACTGGCAAAGGCTGGGACTGCTTGTGAAGGACAGTGAATAGTGGTAAGAGGGGGTTGAAGGTGCTGGAAGAAATCATTGGGTGTTGCTGAGGGATTTGAGACTGAGAGAGAGCTAAGGGCGTGGTGGTGTTATGTAATTAGAGATTTTGTTGCACCTGTCCCTCTGTACATTCACAGAGATGCAAGAGGGGCTGCCCCAACAACTTTTACAGTGCTCAGCTGTTGGAATTTTGGTGTTCTGCTGCCACCTGAGCAAGGGGAAGTCCTACCACGTGCTTCCAAAATCATCTTGACTTGGAGTTCTGCTTTTAGCAATGTCATTCACTTGCTTATGAGTGGTACAGTTTAAAAAAGTGAATACTTCATGTGGGTGAAGGATTTCTTTATGCTTCCTTAGATAACAACATGGCATTCTCTAGGCAGTAATGGGCATGTCATTTTCTGGCTGCTTTTTGATGAAAGGTGAACTCTACTGTGTCCTTTATCTGTTTCTACTTTAGCAAAGGAAGTGGTTTGGACAGTGAACCCATCCCATGCTGCTTTGAATAGAGCAAACATTAGTGGGAAAGTAATAATGACAAAAATTGTCATAACTTTATCCATCTTATAATATGGTTGATTAAAATTTTATTGCTACACATCAGTTAAGTATTTTCTTTTTGTTGAAATATATTTTTTCTTTATAATTTTTTTTCTGTCTGCTCACTTGTGTGAAAATTTGCTTGACTTTTGTCTTCCTCTTCCAAACAAACAAATGATTTTTGTCTTTCTTTTAGCAAACTGAAAAAGCTAAGTGAAGACAGTTTAACAAAGCAGCCTGAAGAAGTCTTTGATGTTCTGGAGAAACTTGGTGAAGGGTAAGAGCAGCTATTTATAAGAGGATAGGATCAGAGGGAAACAGTACATAAAGCATATGTTGGAATATTATGTTACAGAGAGAGTAACTGTAAATGTCCTAAGGAATAGTTCTAAAGACAAGTTTTAATAATAAAGCAAATGCATACATCAGTAGATTTCCACAGTCCTCAAATATTTTAAGCATTTTTGATGTCTGTTGTTTGTTAACACTGCAAAGGTGCTTGCATCTGTACTGGAATTAAATACTCTGAATCTTGGCCAAGATGCGTTCTTCAGAGGCACATCTTTCCTGAGGTCCCAGCATCCTGAAAAAACCCTCAAACTTCTGCATGAACATATGGCTTCTGTGACTTTTCGTGCATGGAAATGAGAAGCAGTTTGTCTTGTTTTTAAATAATATTTCCTCTCTTATTTCTAGGTCTTATGGTAGTGTGTTTAAAGCAATACACAAAGAGTCTGGACAAGTTGTAGCAATTAAACAGGTCCCTGTGGAGTCAGATCTTCAGGAAATAATTAAAGAAATCTCTATAATGCAACAATGTGACAGGTAGGTATGACATTTCTGTTCCCTTTAAGTGTCTGTGTTAAAATGTGTTTGTACTTGTGCATACAGCTGAAATATATGCAGCTGCAAACTTTTTTTCATGAAAAAGTAAATTGTACAACAAAGGCTTTTAATTAAAGGAATCACTTTGCAGACTTCCTCCTGTCCTTACTTTGGATTGAAGGAAGTACAAATAGTGTACAGAACAGAAACTGTGGAAAGAATAAATACTCACCTCTACTTGGAATTCTCTATACTTGCTTCCCTTTACTTGCACTGTCAAGCGTGAAGGTTACTGTTTCCTGTCTTTGTGAATTCTGAGTTAATCTGTTTCAGAAGATGAATAATGATGTTTCTAACACAAAATTAATGACTAGCGGTTAACTTCTCTTGGTTACCTTTTTTTGTGCAGGAACATACATTTTAAAAGGTGAACAGTCTTGTAGTAGTTCTGGTGGTCTCTTGTTCATAAATGACATATCTTATGATGGCTGGTCTTGTAGAATTGGAGGCCTTGACATCAAGCGTCTTCCAGGTTGCAGAAGTTAATTTGCATTTCCTGTAATCTATGGAGTTTTGGGCTGTAACTTCAAAATCAGATTTGTTAGAGTCAGTTATAATTCATGTCTGATCAGTGGTATGAAAGTCTGTTTTTGTAACTTGAAGTGCAACCAGGAAAGTTTTGCGCTCTAGTTAGGCAAAACTTTCATTAAAACGTTGATTACTTTAGTCATTAACTTGGTGAATTGTATGTGGTCTGTTACTGCTCAATTGTTTGTACTTTTGTGGTGTGTCTGTGTGAAGTTCTGTCTTTAACTGAAAAATGTGCTCTTAGTTCACAGTGATCAGTACTCATCTCAAATTAAAAGATAATCCTTTTAATATAGTCTGAATTAATTCAGATTTGCTGCTGAGTGTTATGCTGAGGTCTTACATGAAGCTTGACTGGACTGCTCCACAGCATCTTAACTGTACTGTTCCACAGGGTCATGAAGGAGGAGAGAAATTTCAAATATTTATCCTTAAATATAGGGATAGAGACCTCAGAGTACGTTGTATCTAGCACATGAGAATGCAGTTGTTATTCAAACGTTTTTAGAACTTCTGCCTGCAAGTCTGATCTGAGCATTTGGGACTGTTGAAAGCAGTGGACCTTGTAATTCATTCCTTTCTGTCATTAACTGCTCTGAATGCTGGAAACTTGTTGCATGTGTAGACAGGGGAATGAGAGGAAGAGGAGGGATTTGTGGCTTTTTTTTTTCCCCCTCACACATTCCACAAAGATGTCTGGTAAGATTATTTCAGGTGATAGTAAAAGAATTTGGGACCCTTGAGTTCCTCTTAATTCTTTTCATCCTGATGAGACTATTTTTTTGTCTGGCCAGCCAGTTGGAATTTTGTAATGGGTACAGATGAAAAAGGAAGCAGCAATCTCGTTTGTCTGCTTAATTGTGGAACTAGATTTGATGCCCAGAGTAGGTCCTCAACTCTTTCTGTACACTGAAGAAGAGTTAAAATATGCTTGTTTTGGGTCTTCTTGTTACTGTGCTCTTAAATGAAGCAGGGGGGGATAAAAATAATTATTTCCATTTAGATGAAGGAAGACATAGGATAAGCTGGAAAATGGTACCTTATGAATTCTCATAGACGCTTCTATCATTGACCCCATGGCAGCCCTTAGTTGCTGCACAGGCTTGAGCCATGTGAGCTGCCTGGAAGCAGTGGTGAAGGTTGTAGTTTATGTACGTCTGCAAGTATTGGACCAGGATTGAAATAAATACTTAAATGTCTGTAAAATATACTGACAGAGAAAAGAAGTGGTGACGCTGGAGAATTTTCTAAAAGTTTCATCTCTTTTTTTCTGTACTATACTTCTTGTGACACTTTCATTCATGTCTCAGGTGGGCCTCCTCAGCCTTATTTTTGTGTCCTCTGTTCTGTCCCTCTTTTCTCTGCCCTTGTTCTTTGTTTCCTGGTTGTCTTTGAACAATATACTTCATTTGGTATCTACTGGACATGTACTATTGTGTAAATTTTTTTAAGAGTTCAGAATTTCAGAACACAAATCTTCCTTCACTGGACAAGATGCAGCCATTCTCTGGTTGAAAAGAAGGTTTGGGCTGCAGCTCTGCCTCATGCTCTTGTATAGGTGTCACGTGCCTTTGTGCAAATGCAGTGCTGTGCAGTACTGATGGGAGGGATGACAGGCACACTTTTTAGTACTTGATTTTCACATGGGATGATTCCACAGATATTACAGGAAGGTACTGAGTTGTTGCAGCATCTCAAATAAAAGATGATTAAATCTTAACACTTTACTCTTTCGTTCTTCTCCATGCCCATTTCTAGCACTAGCTGGGCTTTATGTGCTGAAGCTCTTCCAAGGGGAAAAACATGTATTCCAAGACAAGCAGTTGATCTGGAAAAGTCTGGTCTATATAGTTAACTGGGACAAGGCTTTAAGTAAATGTGAACAGTGTTTTGAGACTGCACATTTGATGTTTTGAAAAGATCACCTTGTCCTGATTGATAATACCCATTTTTTACTAGGAATAGGAACTCAGTGTAAATCTGGCAAGAGACTGTCACAAAAATCAGTGGGTTTTCTTCAGAAGTAATAATAGCCTTCCTCACTTAATGAATTTTTAAGGAGCAGGATCAGTATGTTGTACTTGTAAATGGTAGGCATTTTGATTAGTTAGGAGGAGACTGACCCACCTTGCCTTCTGTAGAGGCAAGTTCCTTTAGTATTAACAGTTGCTCTTAAATGAAGTAGTTTGCTGATAATTTTGACCTATCTTTTGTAAAGATAGCACCATATTGCAGGAGGCAGACATAGGTCCTGTCTTTTTATTGTATCAGTTTTCTCACCAAGAGTTTTGCTACCAGACGTGCTGATTCTAAAATATAATTCCTTGCTCCAAAACCAAATGGTCTCTGATTCACAATGTAGGTGTTCTGATGAGAAACCACTGTCTGAAATCTCAGTATCTTCCTTTCCAAGTTTGTGGGAGGTGGATGGCAATTGACCTGTAATCTCCATTATTCAAGTTCTTGCAAAAAAACCCTACCCCAAACCTTCAATCTTTTATTTCCATAAATATACCTTTTAATACCTCTTCTGAATCATGAACCTTGTTAGGTTTATCACATCTATTTCTACCTTTCTTTTGCTGGTGACTCTAAAGAAACATTATATCAAGTGACAGATGATGAGTAGTGAAGCAATAAGTTCTGTTCATGACAATACTATCCCTTCACATGAGTTTGAAAATGCATTTGCGAATCCAGAAGTCTTGTTCAAACCAGCGAGTCTACCTCTGTGCTGGAAATAAGTTCATGTTTGCAAAACTGTGAAAACATGGATCAGCTTCCATGTTATTTTGCTCAGGAGAGAAGAAAACAAGGCAGTCTTTTTAAGAAGGAAAACATTCTATAGCTTTGTTAGATATTGAATGAAAGACTTAAAAATTGAGAGGCCTTAGAGGAGAGAAAAACAAAGCTTTTTGTCAGAAGACTAATGTCTGGGAAAACTATTTAAAGATTACTGGAAACTTGTTATGTATATATTATATGTCGTAGTGCCTTTATAATTTTCTTAAGTAGTCAGATTGTGCTCTAGGGTTAAGCTAATTACCACTTTAAAATGTATATGGTTGCACTTGCTCTTTAACTTGTTAGTGTGTAGCAAACTGTAATTTGTAACAACAGTTGTGCTAATGATTTCTTTTTCTGCTGCTTAATTAATCTATTTACGTAACCTTTTTTTTTGTCTAGTCCCTATGTTGTCAAGTACTATGGCAGCTATTTTAAGAACACAGATCTATGGATTGTTATGGAATATTGTGGAGCTGGCTCTGTTTCGGACATAATTAGACTGCGTAATAAAACGGTGAGTTTGTTTTTTTAATTACTTATTTTTTTAAATTACTTACTAAAATTAAATTGTGAATTAAGACTAGAAGCCACAATAGAAGCTGGAGTTATGAGACAAGATCTTGACTGATGCCAAGGGGCCAGTCTGTGCCTTGGTTCCTCAAGAAACAAGCTCATGCAGTTACTGACTATCTTTGTGTGTTCCTCTGCGGAGTGATCATCAGCAGAAGCAAAAGCATTTTGAATTACGAAGATCTTATGAGTTTCTTGAAAATTACTGCTTTGTTCAAGGCAAAACTGTGGCTTCTTCCACTTACTCCTTTCACCTCACAGTCTGTTAGCAGGCCACTTAGTGCATGCGTGGTTTTGAAACAGGCATAAGATTGTCTTGTTCTCACTCAGTAATGAAGGGAGCATGAGAAGTAACTGGCATTACTTAAGGAATGAGAAGGGGAAGAGATTTGCATTAAGGAGTGTGAGAGGGAACCAAAATGAGTTATATTAAAGTGTCTTAGTGGATTTATAACAGCAGTAATGTAGAGGAAACCTGTAGGAAGCAGGCTTTATTATTTCTAATTAAGAAACAACTTCTCTGAAAAGTGTTCTGTTGTAGGTGTCAAACAATCTGTAGTTTCTTTGAGTCCTTTGTTTTCAGTAGTGGGCTGTAACATGAGGTATTCCTTTTACCAGCAAGTACTCCGAGGTGACACTCTACTTTGCTGAGCTTCACGTTTTGTAACTGCACCCTGAAATGTTCCTTGCACCATACTTGGGATCAGAGTGGAAAAGTGGAGGAGAGAAACCCAACGTTTAAGCTTAGAAAATAAGACAAAACAGAAAATGGAATTAGGTTTGTTAGGAAGGTGATGTCCAACTCCTTTGGAAAAGGTGGCTTGTGTTGGTGCTGCTGTAATTTTCAAGTGATGATTAGGGACAAGCCAAAACTGATGGAAGATTTCTGGAGTTTTGCAGCTTTTAAAATTGGTGTTCTTGTTCTTGCAGTTGTACATTATCCAGGAATCAGTAGCTCTGATAAGAAATGGTGCAAGCTACTGCAGAATTAAAAAAAAAAAAAGAAACAAAAAGCTTCCAAGAAACGAAACACATTTAGAACACGATTTAGGAAAAAAGGAGGAAACTTAGTGTGTGCATTGATAGCAAATGCTTGAATTTTTATTTAAGAAAAGGTGTGCATATGTATGTCTGTATATTAAATAAATCAGGCTATCTAATTTCTCTTATATGTATTTTAGGATATTGTCATAGCAGATATATTAAAGATTTGAGGGGAAGAGATATTTGAGTCTTGGAACAAATGCATACTGATGATCCGACAAACTACCTCTTCTACTGCTGTTCGTGGTTAAAGTCAATATGATAAAATAGCATGAATTCTTTTTAGGGAAAAGAATAATCAGTAAATACATAGATACATTTGATAAAGCTGACATATCTTTTGTAAAGGCAAGTCATGCTGTGTGTGGCTAGTAGAGTTCTATAAAGTTGATGGGGACGCAGTTAGTGCTGGTTGGTGTAAAGTTGATCTGGATCTACTGAAGGGTTTTTGGACAAACTGCCACACCAGAGGCTCTTCAAGAAAATACACCTGTAATGGAGGGAACGAGGGAGTTCTGTCACGGGTGGGTAATTGTTTTAAATTTAGAAAACAGGGTGTAAGTGGTCATTTTGGGCCGACTGCATAGGTCTGTGCTATCTTCTTTCAGAAAGAGAGTACAATACTGATGAGAAAGGTTATATTCCTAATGGTTAAAACTGGGAAAGACTTGAAAGGCTTCATGATACTGAGAAAATAAGCACAAGTAAATGTGAAAAAATACATTTGACTTGGTGAGAGGGGTGAATTCTTTATATTCAGGTTCGTGAGCACTTCAGCTTAATGTTTAGAAATAGTTGAATAAGTAAAGTGGTTGTCAAAGATTACAATAGTACCAAGGCCTTAGGAGAACTATGGAAGTTAGAGGAAGCTGACAAGTAAAGAATACTTCTCTAGAAGGAGATTCCAAATGAATTTGGATACTTTTGTGCTGAGAAGAGGTACCTGGAGGGAGAAATGTGGTGAAACACTTTGAAAATCGTGAGTAGCTCAAAGAAAGTAAGATACAGGTATCTTACTGTTATTACAAACCAAGAGATCCCTTGTGATAGGAGATGCAAAGCAAAAATTCTTTCTTTTCACATGATGATGAGGTCCACTGTATAGTTATAGAAGTTCACATAGAGGCTAGGAGTTGGTTTTCAAAAGGCAGATAAATAAGACAAGGAAAAAAAAACTGTGACTGCGTGCAAGTATTTAATGGCCGGGACAGGAAATCCATGTGCTTTGGATCTCCGGGAAGGTGAAGCAGGCAACTGTCACAGTTTGACATGTGCTTACATTCAGACAGGCTAGAAGGTTAGACAGAATTTTTGTTCTGGCTTAGGATATGGGGTGTTCTGGTGCATATAACCAAAAAAAAAGAAAAGCAAACTTCCCCATTTCTCACTTGCAGTGCCTACGTCTTGCAAGTTTTGGAAGATTTAGGCAGCGGCTTTGGACTTGTTTATATTCTCTTGCTCTTTGTGGAACAAGAGAATATAATTGTCTTGTTCCCAAGATTGCTGTGTGATGGGAAGCTTGTGACTGTGTTATTGAAATGAGGCTTAGAGTACTTGAGCATTCTGTTGAGGACCTTGCATGTTAGATATTTATGTATTTTTAAAATGGAAACAAGAAGTGGTTTCATAAGAAAAAAAGTGTCTTCACTTGCAAGCAAGGAGACAATTGATTCTTATTTTGTCAGAATGTTTACTGAATATGGTCAGACACATGCGGTTATGTCTTCTGTAACTTAAGATGTCAGATGATGACTGTGGCTGGGCCAAGGAAAGGTTTATTTCCTGCTGCTTCATATGTAAGGAAAAGAAACAAGGTCACTATCATTTGAACTTGATGATCTTGATCTTAAAGGTCTCTTCCAACCTAAATGGTTTTATGATCATATCAAATTAAGTCATAGGAAAAGGTGGATATCTCCTCATATTTGGGGAGGAGACATTAATACAAACACACATATTTGCCCTTGTTGCTTGTCTCTAAGAATTTACTCACTTTCTTTTTCTGTAGCTGTGATTCCCATACTTTCTCAGAAGTTGTTTGTCTAGAAAGTGAATTCTGGGCTTTGCTCTAATGGAACAAAAGCCAAGGGAAGCAGAATTCAAAGCTGGGGAAATTTTTAGTGACTATTGGGAGCCTATTCACACAAAGTTTTCAGCTTGGCAGGAGAAGGGTCTTGTCCAAGAGGCCCAAGCCACTTTTCTGAAGTTAAATGGACCCCTGGAATTCTGCCTGTGTGCCAGGCAGATCAGCAGCGCTTTAGCAAGTTTATGATGCCTGTTAGCTCATCTGAGGTGTGGTGTTCATCAGTCCAAGGCAACAAAACTTAGATCTAGTTTTGTCTGCTTTTCTCAGAGACTGGTTTGGGAAGTATGTGTATCTTGTTCAGTCAAACTGTGGGCTACTGCCAGAACGGGCAGTTCTGCTGTTATCTATGACTGATGTTATCTATGACTGATGTTATCTATGACTGATGTGTTCCTGCCTTTTCCATGCCTCAGATGCAGTGCCTGTGTGTGGCTGGAGGGTGATCTTGGATACATTTGATGATGTGACCAGGGGAACTTTTTCCTCTCTAGTCTATCTTCCCCACCCCCTCACATGAGCTAACTCAGTACCTAAAATGCCAGCACAGTGTCTTGATCTGATGTAAGAGAGACATTGGGAATGAGCAGTGGGGAAAGGGAAGGAAAAGAAGGTATGAGACTGACTTTTCCAGTGGCAGCTTGCAATAGAATGAGGTAATTACAATGTGAAGCAACACTTTAAGTCATGCTGGCATGTGGGGGAGTATTTACACACCACCAACCATGCCCTCTCTAATGATCTTAGGGTGCACTTGATCATCTACTGATGGTGATCAACTGAATCATTCTAATCTTGACTCTTTTGGGGACCAAATTCAAAAGTTGACAGTAGCATACCATGTGGTGGCTATGCAGTAGGTTTGAGAAAATCATCTTATTTGGGTCAGTACTGTGACAAGTGACAAGTATAACAGTGTACTGTTGTATAGGTAGTATGCTGTTAGGCCCAGGGGTTCTGCATTTATATCTAAAATCACTTCCTTTATATGCCAATTTATTTGACAGTTACAGATACATTACTCCATATGTTTTTAATGATTGTCTTCTGCCATATTTTCTTAGGTGATTACTTTTTTCCTGTGTTTAAATTCCAGTAAATCAAATGAATGGTGTATCTGAGTCTCTAGATGCTGTGTTTGAATGTCCTCCTGGTTTTGCTTTCTCTGTATGCTACCATGAGGATCCAAGGCAAATCTTTTGTTATCTCTCTGGGCTAAAGGCATTTTGCTTATGTGGATGCTGTTTTGCAGTTGTAGGCAGTCACGTTTCTCAGTAATTTCACAGTTAAAATAGTTTCAGTTTGTAGACCTTTACTGCACTGAAGTACATGTGGTTAACAGCTGTAAATCAGTTATCTAAAGTCTGATAACTCCTACATTTTTTTTAAGTAGCATCTATTGCAGTATAACTTCCTCAGTTGACCTCACATCTATTAATTAGTAACCAGACAGTCTATACACAAAGACTGACATTTCTTCTGTACTGGCTACCTTGCTTAATTGATCTTGGTGACCATGGGCAAGTCCATCCTGGATATGCTGCTGACCGTGTTCTGTCAGTCAGCCTTCCAGGATGTGAATCGAGTCAATGGGCCAGTCAGCTTCGTTACTGTTCAGATGCTGATCTTTAGGCCAACACTCTTTAAGTACTTTTCTGTGCAACCAGGCTGTGAAAAAGGAGGAAAGAAGTTGATCACAAATGTTGTGGCTTACTTATTCTATGTCTAACCTTAAAAAGCAAAGTAGTTTAGCTTCAGCAGTGCAACACAGATATTCTTCAGTGCTTGTCTAATAAAATCCTTACTATGGCTCTGAA